TGTGACAACAATATTTTTCTTGAAATTCACCCTTACTATTTTGTTATCAAGGATCGGGCTACGAGGAAGGTTCTTCATCAAGGACCCAGTGAGAGGGGGTTGTACCCTGTTCCCAGCAATAAAGCCATCCAGAAGCATGCCTTCCTCGCTTCCGTTCCTAGCCGAGAGAGGTGGCATCGCCGTCTTGGGCATCCGGCGTCTTTAGTCGTTGATCAAGTTCTTAGAAGTCATCGTCTTCCGTCTACAAGCGAGTCCAATAAAAGCACCATCTGTGATGCGTGCCAACAGGGCAAGAGCCATCAGCTCCCTTACCCTAAGTCTAGCAGTGTGTCATCTTCTCCGCTTGAACAAATTTTCTCCGATGTATGGGGACCTGCGTGTCTTTCATCCGGAGGGTTCAAGTTTTATGTCAGTTTTATCGATGATTTCAGAAAATTTACTTGGCTTTATTGTTTGAAACATAAATCCGATGTGGAGCGTGTCTTTTTTCAGTTCCAAGCACATGTTGAACGCCTCTTTAATAAGAAAATTATTCGTGTCCAATCGGATTGGGGCGGCGAATACGAGAAATTGAATTCGTTTTTCACCAAGATTGGCATCTCTCACACCGTTTCATGCCCCCACGCACACCAACAGAACGGCTCGGCTTAACGTAAGCATCGTCATGTCGTCGATGTTGGCCTCACCCTTCTGGCCCAAGCTTCCATGCCACTCCGTTTTTGGGATGTTGCCTTCCAAACAGCATGTTTTTTGATCAATCGACTTCCTAGTAAAACTATTCAGTTTGCTACTCCTCTCACCAAGTTGTTTGGGGTCTCTCCTGATTATTCGTTCCTCAAAACGTTTGGATGTGCATGCTGGCCATGTCTCCGTCCCTACAACAATCACAAATTACAGTTCCGATCTAAGCAGTGTGTTTTCTTGGGGTACAGTAGCATGCATAAAGGCTACAAGTGCTTGCATATTTCCTCTGGACGTGTCTATGTTTCGCGAGACGTTGTCTTTGACGAACAACTTTTTCCATTCTCTGAAATTCAGCCGTCCAGCGATGCTCCTCCACTCCTTGACATCCTAGGGTCTCCATCCCTCCCATCTTCTTCTGATTTTTACGGTTCCGGGAGTGTGGAGACAGGGGGGCAGCCATTGTGTCAAGGTCATATTATACCAATTCCGCAAACTGTTGAGCAGATTGATCCGGCGTTCGCGCCGCTCTTTTCTTCAGTTTCTGGTGTGCAGGAAAACACAGCTCCAGTGGCGCATGATGATGATGAGCATGAGGACGTGCATGAGGCGGCATGCACTCTGACACCGCCTCCCATGCAGGCCAATCCGCTGCAACCAGGCGGAGCACCATGCACCGGAGCACCATGCAGCGAATCGGCTGCTACCATCTCGCCCACACCAACGCGCGACTCCGCGCAAGCTTTGGAGCCAGCCGACAGAAGGCTATCTCCTGCACTACCTGGCAGTTCTGCAATGGAGGCGGCCTCGCCAGAACATATGGCACCGTCGACTGGGCCGCATCGCCGGGTCACCAGGCGTACTGAGCCGCCACGCAGATCCAGCAGCGGCGGTGGCGGCGGTGACGGCGGCGGCGACGACGGCGGCGGTGGCGGCAGCGACAGACCGCGGCGAGCTCCTCGACTTGCTGAAGCAAACCCAGAACCAATGGCTGCTGGAGAACAGGGACATAATCTTCGACGTCTCGTCTGTGTTCCATCTCGGTATACCGAAGGGAAAGTACGGTATAACCCGTATCGGAGACATCAGGCATCACTAGCCACAACTGAGCCGGTTGATCATACTGAAGCCTTTGATGATCCGAACTGGCACAAAGCTATGGATGAAGAGTATCAAGCATTGATCAAAAATCAAACGTGGCACTTAGTACCCCCACAGCCTGGACGTAATCTCATTGATTGCAAGTGGGTGTTTAAGTTGAAGAGGAAGGCTGATGGGTCAATAGAGAGGTACAAAGCTCGCTTGGTTGCCAAGGGATTTAAGCAGAGATACGGCATCGACTACGAGGATACGTTCAGTCCGGTGGTAAAATCTGCAACTGTTCGTCTCATCTTGTCACTTGCCATCTCGAAAGGGTGGAGTCTCAATCAGTTGGACGTCCAGAATGCGTTTCTTCATGGCATTCTTGAGGAGGATGTGTATATGCGACAACCACCTGGGTATGTCAATCCGCAGCTTCCGCGACATGTTTGTAAACTTGATAAATCCCTATATGGCTTAAAGCAGTCTCCGAGGGCATGGTATTCAAGGCTCAGCACCAAACTTCAGGAATTGGAGTTTGTACCATCCAAAGCAGACACCTCTCTCTTCATCTACAACAAAGGGGGAGTACACATCTACATGCTAATTTATGTGGATGATATAATCATAGCAAGCTCATCTCCACGGGCTGTTCCAGAACTTGTGAGAAATCTGCAACAGGAGTTTGCTATCAAGGATCTTGGAGATCTTCATTACTTCCTCGGTGTTGAAGTTAAGAGGAAGAGAGATGGAGCGGTGCTGCTGCAGACCAAGTACGCCAATGATCTGTTGGCTCGAGTAGGCATGACTGATTGCAAGCCAGTTACGACGCCAATGTCAAATACAGAGAAGCTATCAAGGGGAGAAGGAACCGAGTTATCAGCTGCTGATGCGACAAGGTATAGAAGTGTTGTAGGTGCGCTCCAGTACCTAACTCTTACACGCCCAGATATTGCTTTCGCTGTCAACAAGGTGTGCCAATTTCTTCAGACACCAACTGATCAACACTGGTCAGCGGTAAAACGCATCTTGAGATATGTGAAGAACACGTCTGGGGTCGGCCTACATATTCGACGTTCAGCCTCCACACACATCAGCGCGTTTTCTGACGCAGACTGGGCAGGTTCAGTTGATGACAGGCGGTCCACAAGTGGCTTCCTGGTGTTTCTCGGTTCCAACCTTGTTACATGGAGTTTGAGGAAGCAACAGACTGTTTCACGGTCGAGCACCGAAGCTGAGTACAAGGCGTTGGCAAATGCGACAGCGGAGATCATTTGGTTGCAATCGTTGTTGGGGGAGCTTGGCGTATATCAATCCCGAGCCCCAACGTTATGGTGCGACAATCTTGGCGCTACATACCTAGCTGCCAATCCCGTCTTCCATGCTCGCACAAAACATATTGAGGTGGACTTCCACTTCGTTCGCGAGAGAGTGGCACGCAAGACCCTGGAGATACGGTTCATCTCAACACAGGATCAACTAGCGGATGGCCTGACGAAACCAGTTGGGGTTCAGCAGCTTCGCACGCTATGTCACAATCTCAACCTATCGGGTTGTGATTGACGGGGGTGTTAGCGATATTGTAGAGATCCTAACTACCTGACCGGATGTGTACCTCCCTTTGTTGTATAGATAAGCATGGACGTGTGCGTATAGTTGAGATTGTAACAACCTGATGTAATCTTCTCTTGATCGGCAAGTTTGCCCGTATATATAAACTGCAGCCGGCATTGCTCCAGATGCACGGAACAAATCCATTGTCATCTACTCTTTCACACCGGACAAGGCATGTTATTCAGAATAGGGTGTTGTGGCAAACCTCTAGAAGCAAAGTCTTCAATAATTTTCTGCAGAACATCTACTATTCATTGATTGGATGTTCAGATTTCAGATCGCGTAAGTGTTTGCGTCGACGTTGGATGGATCATTTGCGACAGCGAGCGCGCACACGTGTCGCCGTCGTCGGCGGCATGTGAGCACCCAATCAAAGCTTCGAGTGCGAATATATGCTACTCTAGTGTTGTAGCTGGTCGTCCACTTCAACAGGTGTAAGCCAGACCTGGCGCTGTCAACTTCCTGTGTCTCTCCCCTTGTCTCGACGTGCGTAATCGCCAAGCTTATCTTATCTTACAATGCTTGACATTGAAAAGTGTGTTACAAAAGATGCAAATAGATCATTACTAAAAGTAGATGAGAGAGATGATATGTTTTTTCTAAGAACAGGGAGATGATACGTGTATGTTAACCAAATATATCAACATCGCTGTACATACCCTAGGAGCATGACTATGGGTGCTCCTTCCATGAACTAAATCACATAATACGGATCGACGACAAGTTGGCCATGGCCATCAGACACATCTCAATGCCCCATGGCCTGTCCAGATACCCTTGGCACAGTCGCCCGGACCATCCCCTTCGTGATCTCCTGTCTAGCCAACAGCTTCGTTTAGTCTCTTTTGGCCATGCGACAGTGCACTTCATTAATAGTCCTGACTTTCATATGTTTGAACTAAAAACCTAACCCTCTGCATATTCCGAGTCCAAACTATATCCCTATATAGATAATCGACATAATTCTAACGTAGTGTACACTTAGGTGACAGGTGTGCGGCGCATATCCAACTTGATGCTGACGGCGTCCGGCGGGAACCCAGAATTCCATACATCAGTTTGATTATTTGGCCAGTGTTGCTACACGTTGCATGCTCCCTCTCGTTTGTTTCTTTTTGCCGGCAATCACGCAACCACCAAGAGAAGTTTCATAACTGGCAAATTCTCCTACACATACGCATACGTAGTGACAGTGATACAGCCTCAATGATTGTAATTTGCAGAGGTCCGCATCATCAATTTCATTGTTATTTTCAGCCAGCATGCAGAGTCATTAGGTCACAGTTAATGTTTAACCAGGAAATGGCATGTGCTACACTGTGACTGGTACACAAATGGGAATTAGAGATCTCCTGACAATTGCCAGGATGACACCTCTACAAACCACATCATTGATCATATATTTTACAAAGCCAAATCAAGTTTCCAAAGTCAGCCACGTAATAGCAAATTCCACACCTACCATAAGCGAGCTTATCTACCGTTATAAAACTGGCTAAACTATAGAGTTTACAAAGTAGATGCATACATGGTTTTCGACTCCTTTCTATGTATGTACATCACTGCTGACAGACTATTTACATAACTTAGGCAACATGAACGGGCGGCCGGGCTAGCCAGCCACGTCACAATGTCGCCGAGGGCTGGCGGCAGAGGGGGAGCACCGGGTGGCTGACGGTGAAGGGGCCAAAGTGAGGCCTGCCGGGAAACAAGGTGGACACCGGCGACGGTCCCGGGGATGACACGGCGGAGACTGTGGAACGGGTGGTGGCGTCACATGATGAGCCCGCTGGGAGCACCGTGCTGAACCCAGACAGGTGGTGATTCAGATTGTAGAGCGGATACGGGGCACGGGAGGCGCGCAGCTCCGCCACCTCCCGTTGGAGCTTACGGTTCTCCCGTGCCAGCGCCTCGCAGCAGCGCTTCAGGCGCTCGCAGTCCGCCTCCGTCTGCTTCAGCTTTGTCCTGTGAACGACATGATGTTAGATTTCCTCGCTCTTCTGTTTTGGAAAATGGTGACATCAAAAGGGAAAACTATTGGTGTGTAAATTTTGCTATACCTGGCTCTTCTGTTTTGGAACCAGACCTCAACTTGGCGTGGTCGAAGGCTCAGCCGGTTGGCTAAACAGCTCTTTTGTTCCTGGATATATGCCGAATGAATCCAGCTATATCATCCACTTATTTTGATCGATTAGGAAAATATGTAGGCAGAAGGTGCATACTAGGGTTAGCGTGCTGTGCTCTTTGAAGCTACCCTCTAGAAACGCAGATTGTTCCTTGGACAGCCTCAGTTTCTTCCTCACCCTTCCACCTCCATTGTCTTCATCCTCTGAAGCTTCCTCATCAACTCCCTGTGTCACAGGAACCTCCATATGCATGGACGGCGGTGACAAAGACCTCACTATCGATGCTCTGCCATCCACCGGAACAGCAGCGTTCACATCAAACCCGCGTGAATTCGCACTCGCTGTACAGAGAAAAGACTCATCAGCATACAAAGAATTTTACAGACAGACGCTACGAGCACATGCAACGTATGGACGGCCCTACTGGGGGAACCGATCAATTCAACAGCTTGTTCTGCAGGATTCTCTTCAACTCACCTGTTTGTGAAGAGGCTTGGCGAAAAGGGCTTGCTCTGACAGGCAGTTCGCGGCATGCTTCGTCGCTATCTTCTTCTCCCTCCGCAGTTTCTATGCTTATCCTCTGGTTATCTTGGTCAGCTCTTTGGGTAGCCGTTACTCGTAGCCCTAGCGCAAGGTCGTCGTGGTCTTCTCCTTGGCATGTCGCCGGCGCAGGCATGGTGCTGGCCTTCACTGGAGCTGGAAGATCGCCTAGACTAAGCTCAAGCTCCATGTCAAGGAAAGGGAGGGGTCATGGAGTGATGAGGCGAAGAGGAAACAAATAGCAAGTACCACATATATAGAAGTGGTCGGCCAATCAAGTAAGTAATCATCAGTTTTGACAAAATAAACTCAAGCATGATTAAGTATCAGAGAACACGTTTGGATTGGATTGTTATCTAATGCTTGTCCCATCAACCTCCAATATTATATCATGTCTCCTTCTATTCCAATAATTTGGAAAATATTTTTTATAATGCTAGGCTAAGTGTGCAATCTATTTGAACTTTGAAACTACTCTTATGGAGAGGATTAACTAGAGATTCATATTTCAACCGAGGTCCACAAAACTATCACTTTGACATTCAAAAATAGGAGATTCTCAGAGGAGCATGATTATGAGCTATTATGACATTTGTGTTTCTCCCACACATTAGGAAGCTTTAAGACGTTTTCTTTTCTTAAGGCCTCCAAGAAAAGGCATGGTTGGAAACCAAATATTTTATGCAACTAGTGCAATAGAAAGCTAAAACGCTTTGTCTTTTCTTAACAAAATTACTGGTTTTGCCCTTCCAAGAAAAGGCATGGTTGAAAGCCAAACAATTTATTCAACTAATAGAGGATTATCATTAATTTGATCAATAATTGTGCTCTGCATAAATAATACAGAATATGCTTTGTCAAAAGATTGCTTGGAAAGTTATCTCTCCTTAAGAAATGATAAGCTTATCGGTAAGAGACAATTCTTACTGTAACAAAACCCGTACAGCAAGGCAGAATGCTCACTGAATTTATCACACTGACTGCTACGGCTGCCTATGGAAATAGGAGTAGTTGGTATCGTGATGTCCATATGTCAAAATCTGAGCTGCGATCATCTTCAAGATGAGGTGGTCTAGATACTCCACAAATAAGTAGCCATGATATGACTATCTGGAGTCTAATGTGTGGATAACATGTAACAAACCACTTTTTCAGAAGTTGTAAGAACCACTACACTAGGTAGCAAGTCCAATTGTGTAACAGATGTCTACATTTCTAGAGTGGCTACGGTTGGATGACAGATTGTGTAGCAGTTGTCAACATTTCTAGAGTGGCTAAGGTTGGATGAGCGAATTGGAAAATATCTTTTTCCGAGGATATGCAGGGAGAACACACAAGTTAATTAGTACAGGATACAAGCAAACTCCAACTGCCTACAACCTGAGGGCGATGAGACAAGATGCTCTGGTGACCCCCACGAGAAGAAGTTGTGTTTGCAGTCATCATTGATCTTCTATATTGTGTGGCAGATTACACCTTGCAGGTGAATCATTTACCAAGAATTCTGCGACCATCCTTTTTTCCCTCTGAACTTGACAGGTACAGATTGCAGCAGATGGGGATCTGCAGATGCACATGTGCAAGATTAGAACTGCTTCCAAGGTGAAGATCCTTTCCATCTCATTAATCTGCAAGGGAGACCTTACCAGGGTTTTGTGTGGAAGTGCAACCATTTCCATCTGAGCTTCTTATTTTGTTCTGAAGTGTCCAATCAAAATGGCTACAAGACTTGGGCAAGTTTAATCAGTATGAACTATGAAGCATATCTTGAAACTTACAGCTCTAACAGGATCACTCCTACAGACAGTATATGAGTGATGATCCCCATTGAATTTGCCCCCGTGCATAAGTATTATATTGAGTGTGGGGCCATGGGCTTGAATCTTCCAGTTTTGACTCCAGTCGGACAAGATTCTGGAATCTGGATCATGATGATCAAGCAGCCTATATGCACATGAACTCTCATTTCTTATCCATGGGCGTGCCCGTCTCCAGTGGCAAGGATCAGCGATTATAGCGACAAAGAACAGTTCTTTGTCTGTTTGTCGTAGTTGCAACAGAAAAGTTGAGGACTTTCTCTTGCAGACCTTAACATACACCTAAACATTGCTTTCACTAAAATTTCAGCCATAATCTAGTTTGACAACTAGACCAGTAATATGTGTAAAATATTGTTTGAATATATATTTGGGCAGATAAAGTACAGGGAAGGCTGTTCGGCATGGCCAAAGGTACATATATACAAAGGGCAAACTGCCTCTTGACAACTTGTAGATTTGAAACTAATAATGTACAGGAAAAGTGAATGAGCTGAGGTCACCCTTTTGTTCTCACAGAATATTTAATTACAAAACTGATTAGATTTCTTTGCAGATAGACATGATACGACTGTTTGATTTTGGGGAACACTTTGACTCAGTTGAAAGGGCGGATGAGTTTTATGCAAAATAATGTCTTTGTGGAATATAAGCTTTCATAAATCCTTGTTATGGTTAACTAATTTAAAATATTCTCTGACAACAGAAGTCAACTAATATATCATCTATAACTCGCTAACCAATAGCTTGCTTTTTAAGGAATCGCGGACTGAAGCAACAACACTAAACCCTGGAACAGTACTTACTTTTCAAAATCCGGGCACGTCAATGGATCTTTAGGTTTTAAATTTTTTGTTGAGAAGTTCCTGATAATATTTTGGTGTTGCTAAGTAAATTTCTGATAGCAAAGTGTTATAAAACTGCATTTGGGGTATGAAAACAGCTACAGATCAGAATATAAATGATTCAATGGCACATCGTTGTGTGCTAGAAACCTTCTGCAGTTATATTATGAAACAAGCCTCCCAGTTACAACAATTTATCGGTAAGAAAAGGATCATTCAATGAATCATTAGGAGAAAGGTTGTGACATCTATCCTGTGATATTTTACTATGTATTGGAGCAACGTACAGCTACCGGGAAGTATGAAAAGTTATTAAAAATTCATAAAATACAGTGAACAAATGAAAACAATAAACCTCCATAAGTTTTTTTGACCGGAAACAACACGACTTTGCTGTGTGTATTTTTATTGTTTTTCAAATATAAATGTACAAGGAAAAGAAAGAAGCAGAATAAAACCTACAACAGGGGTCTGAGCTAGCCCCAAAGAGGTAAACAACGAAAAAACAAGCAGAAAGCTCCACTGACTAGCTCAGGATACATGAAAATGGAAACAAGGCCCTTAATGGACTTTTTTTTACCCAGTTCTAAAAACTGTTCCATCTCTTTCTCTTCGAACTATGCAAGATCCACCGTAGCTCCTCTTTAAACTTGCCTCCGCTACAAATGAAAAGAGACTGTGAATGGCAATCCAGTTGCCCGAGACCCCATTTAAAAGAACAACAGTTTTGGAAGTCGTTAGCAGAGAAATCATCCACAAAACCCACCTGCTTATAAGATCCTCATGTTCTCAGGATGGCAAATAAAGCCTCCCATGATACGGCGTCAAACACTTTGGTGAAGTCAAGTTTGAGGACCAAGGCTTTCTTCTGTCTTTTCCTGCAAGTTTGTATAAGGTCCATCGCACACAGGAGGTTGTCGGCTATGGATCTTTTCTTGATGAAACCAGGCTTTTTCGACAAAGATGATGAAACCAGATTGATCAGTAGCCACCAGCAAAGTGATTAGATCCTGAAGCCTACCCGCCAAAAACCTTTGTAATCCGCTTTACAGAGCAGTTAAAAAGGGAAATCAGTCTGAAATTGCTGGGGGGTAGAATCATATTCATATATGACATGTTAATTCTGTTCCAGCTGCAGAGACCCATTGAAGAATGGGTCAAAGAAAATAAACATGTCTCCTTTGAGAATATTGGCAGAAGTCCTGATAAAGCGCAGAAGTGGAACCATCCAGAGCTTTTATTCAGCTACCGATAAATATCTCCAAAGCAGAGTGAGAGCCTGGGACACTTACAGTACACATCAATCAGCGCGTCGACCACCAACGCGCCTCACTCCGCAGCACTTCGATATGCATACTCATGTTCTTTCCTGCCGCCAGTATAATGGCAAGCGCAGAGCAAGCACTGACAGTACTAGCTAGCCCAAAGCTGCGTCCCCCAAACGAGACATGTTTCTCCTCTCCACTAAAGAACATAAACTCTTGGTCCAATTCAAGCATGAACAGGTTTGCATCCGCTAAAGAACATATTGTTTCTCCTCTCCACTTACCTACCTAGTGCAATAATCTAGCTAACGCAACAATAATTCCCACCATATCCATGCGGTAATTTTCCATCTTTCAGAACTGAGAAGCGAGCAGAGCAATGATCTGAATAAACTGACGCGGTTGTAGCCTGCAGGCTGCGGCAGAACGCTAGTTGCAGTGCAGGAATAACCTGCGTGCTTAGTGTGACGTGATGCAGGTCGTAGGCATTCTTCTCGACGTAGATCCCGGCTCACCAGCCCGGTGACGGCGAGTACCTGCGTCCTTCCGCCAGCAAGATTCGATCAATCCACGGTAAAAGAATGTCGAGAATCACGCGCGGAGTGCGTGGGATCCGTTCGAGTTCAGTGAGCAGCGGAGAAGAGCACCACCGGCGGCCACCGTGAGAGGAGGAGGAGGGCGTGGGGGTCGCGCTTCGTCTCGTCGCCGTCGTTCCTCACGCCGGAGACTCGTGCAGCAGCGAGGGGATGCGCGCCGGAGCGGGACGGGACGCAGGCCGGCTCTGCTACGGGTAAGACCAGCTGTGCTGGATCGCTTTTGGTCCCACATCATCGATTTACAACGTTCTGCGCCGATTTATAGGAGTTTTTTCTCTGCACAACTATCATCAAGTAGCAATAGAGTAGGGTCAGGGTGTACTGTATCTTGAATCTACTTCTTTGATCTTCTTTTCTTTTAATGCCATTAGCAGAGGGCGGTTCCAAGGCTGTTAGAAGAATGGCTTTGAAGCACCGATTGAAAAAAATGTGTTGAGGGGGTTACATGTGGAAACTACGGGGATGATAAGCTAGAAAAGCGAGGCTTCATGAATTTTATCTTGGAACCACTTGAGCAATAGCTTGGCCATCTGACAGTAATCAGTGTGTGAAAACTGAAAACTGCTAGTCTCTGGTTCATGTTCCGTTGAAATGCCCTGCCGTGCAATGAACCATTAATTAATCATAATGCATTTCAATATTCTAATCAAACAAGCAAAGTGGCAACACCCTTTGGGCAGAGAAAACATGATAAATTTGGTTATGGGCCAATAGCCAGTCATGGACATGTAAAAGGAAAGCTGCATGTAGCACAAAGCATAAAATGCTTCCACTTTACAAGCAGGAGAAGCTAAGCAATCCACTTCCAAGTGATGCATACATAACCCTGTATTTTTCCTGAACATATAGCGGTTATCCTGCAAGTTCAAATATTAGCAATTATGGTTATCCTGCAGTGAAACAATTGGATTCAGAATCTGAACATGGTATTCAGAAAATAGCTTTGTTGTCTCAGCCTTATTTATTTTATGTTGAAGATTAGTGCTGTATTTGCTGTCCTTCAGTTTTGTTTTCCTTCTAATGCTTAATGCTAGTTGTCTCAGCCTTATTTATTTTATTGAATCCAGAGGTAACGGCAGGTGTTGGATCAACTATTTGGCCATGCTTGGCTGTTGATATTTCGCACATTATAACATCATGCTATCTATTTTATTCATTGCAGGTTATGACCTAACCCACACGTAGCAAAGGCATGAGGCAATAAAGGGGATTCACTGGGAATCTATTTGGATGCACTTGCGTTTTTGTAGATGGATGCACTGCTAGTTCACCCTGTAGTTAAACTTGATGGGTGGGTGCAGCAGTGTCTTCTGTTTTGCTCGATGCAAGTTATTGCCACTTGCCAAGGTTTCACTCTGTCTATTGTAAGTGAAATACAATAAAACCGAAACCACTTCAAAATTTTGCACAAAAACTAGTTCTGAAAACCCATGTGCTCTTTTTTTGTTCAGAAGGAGAGTATGCTGATAAAAATTCAGAAGAAGGGACCCTTTAAAACAACTACATGAGTTGTTGACGAAAAGAGAGCTTGCTGAGGTGATTATTCGTAACATGTATTTAGCTTTCCTCTATGTATTTATCATCAGTCCTAGTGGAGCATGTACTGTTCTTTCCCTCAAGAGAGGTACAATTTTTCTTGCAATAGTGGCGATATATGATTTAAATAAAGTCAGAGAACCCTTAAAATAACCTTGCTATTGAAATCCCAGCATCACTGACTTGTCAAACCTTGCTATATACAGATTGCAGTTTAGTTGTACGATGATTCTACGGAAGATCATGTTGACTGCCTGTGAATTTAAAGAATTCATCGTCACGTCAATCTCCATTTCTTTGTGAATCTGACGGCTTATCTTGTTTCTCTCAGGTAGTACATCGTGGCTGAGGATATAAAGCAAAGGCCAATGTGCCATGTGAGATCGGCCGAGCCGATGAAATAGCATTGACAGAGCTTATATCCAGCGGTGCTTTGAAGGACGCTAGTGTAGTAGAACAGATGTGAGCTTGACTTGCTCATCTGCAGGTTCCAAGAGACGATACAAAGAGCTACTGGCTTCCTGCTTGACTGCAAGCAAGTTCCTGATATACTTGTAAAGAACCATTTGAGTTGTTGATGCTGCAGCAACATGCTAGTTTTGGAATGGGATTCTATTGCCGGGGCATATTTTTGGGGCATTGCCAAATGCCCATGGAAAATCCAGCCGGGTGTGAACCGGCCTGAACCGTCAAGAGTTCATCTGGACCAAGAAGAACATGACGGCACCTACTGGAAATTAATGCGTAACGCCAGGTGTGTTTACAACAACAAAAAGTGAAATGCAGCCGGGAATACATGCGAGGATGCAGATCTCGAGGTGAGCGTAGCGAGCATATATGTTTTATGTGGCATCAATCAAGTAGTCCTGTGCTTTGAGACTCGGTCTATCTGCGTAAACAAAATATTTCCACTGTTAGTTGTTTGGATGTTATGTAGTAGCCAGCTCAATTTTGTGTTCTTTTCCCAAGTCCGATCAAATATAATACGTATGCAGCAACTAGCAAACGTTGGTTGGTATATACGTATATCATTCTTGTGATAGTTGAAGAGAAGAATTCCTGTCAGGGAGAGAAAAGGCTTTCATCAAAGAAGATGAGATAGGAAGAGCATATGCTTATCATCTTATATGATTGCTCATACACTGACAAATTCTATTGATTCCCCACCACCACCGCCAGTGGCTGCTGCTGTTTCCCTCGAGCTGTTCCTCCTCCCACCTGAATCTGCTGGTTGGCACCAAGAGGAGATGATGAAGATGGCCTCTTCTGCCTGCAGGACGCCCCTGCTCCTTTTCCTGCAGGTGGTGCTGGAGGGCCGAGGGGACAGACGGGCAGTGGCCGCATGTGACTTGTTGTCGCCGGAGCTGTACGGCGGCCGATGCGTTCTTGGCAAGGATGCTGGACGTGGGGTGGTGGAGGCAAGGATGACAATGTTTGAATTTGCAACGGCACGAACATGCAAGGAAACAAACACAAGAGGCTACTAGTCTCTGAAGTCTGAACCCAGCAAGCCAAATTGTTCTTCCTCGCTTCACAGACCCAAGGAGGCTTCTCTAGTTCAGGTTCTTAAGTCACCCAAGCAGCATTAGCACCAACAATCAGCATCACATGCATATACTGTACCTGAAATAATTCCTTTTCGAAGTGGCTGATAGTGCAGCCTTCCACCAGTCATCAAACCTAAGAAAGGGCATTTAGTTTAACTTTGTTGCAGTTAGGAATAATCATCAGAGGCATCGAAATCTAGACCTGCAAAATGCTATGGCAAACTAGCTAATGTTTCTTTACTTCTGAAACTAGAAACTATTTGCCTACGTGTTCATTGTTCAGAGTAGTTAAATCAATCTTATTTTCCTTGGACCCGACCAAAGCGGGCGCCAATTCATAACAGGAGAAAATGTTGAGACAGATGACTCATGTCTTCTTACAAGCCAGAACCAGAGAGAAAGGGGAAACCAAAGAAGAAAGACAACACAAGCACAAACCACAGAGCTAAGAAGAAAAACTACAGAAGGGGAAAGATCACAAACGGGCAGATGCAGCACTCATGGAGGCAGGTAAACATTTCCCAGAGTTAAGATGAACCAAAACACAAATGCATACGGATACATCATGTCCTACAGATGTACGGCGATTCTCTGTCGCTTCATAGATTACAACGAGTTTGCTACGATGGTGCAAACTGGGAACTGATAGTTATCAGTACAAATATGGGAAATTGTTGATGGTATGCAACTGCAAAACGGTATAAATCAGCCATGGGCAGATAGATAGACGATGAGACAGAGGCACGAAATCTTGTTGTCCTCATTTTCCAATTAATTTAGCTATTTCTCTTCGGTGCCTCCAGTCTCTTGAAGAACAAAACATAGTCAGTAAAAGCAAACTGGGACTATTGGGAACTTTGAACAAAAGGGAAGTAAAGCTGGACAGCAAATGAGTGTTAGCAAAAATACCTTAGGCGGGATATTTTGTTGATCTGCTCCGCTTCCTTTAACTTCGGGCACATGGATATCTCCACAGTCTTTATTTTTGCAACTGCCTTTGCTCCACCAATTGAAACTAGGTTTGGACAATCCTTGATCACCAATTTCTCAAGTGATGCAAGATTACCGAGCCAAATGTCACTTGGAATGGATGTTATACCGGTGCATCCACCCATGTTCAGTGAGACAAGGGAGGTGAGGTTCCGTAGGCAGTTAAGAACATATGGAGAGGCATCCCCACATCGCATTAAGCTGAGCCATTGAAGAGATGATGGCAGTGCCAATCCTTGTTGCCAGCTGAGACTTGGGCACTGTAAAACCTCCATATGTTTTAGATTAGAAAAACTCCCAAACCTTTCAGCTGGAAGAGAAAGTAACTCGTGACAATGTCTGATGTTAATTTCCTCAATAGCAGGTAGATATTCTTGTGTTAGGAGGTCATCAAGGGTGGACAATTTATCACAGTATATAACTGTTAGGATCCTAAGGGATGAGAATGCTGTAAGGCTGCCTCCAATAGATGCAAGAGCTTTGCATCTAATGATTAACTCCCGTAGAGATGGAAGACTCCACATTTCTAGATCAATGGATGTGACAAACTCCCATTCCAAATGAAAGTAGGTGAGGGAGCAGCAGTCAATAGTCCAAAAGAGACCAGAACTATGCAGGCCGAGTTTCTTAAGGGACGACGATACCAATCTTTGGGAGCAGAATTTTGGACAATGGTGCACCTCCAGTTCTTCAAGGAAATGAAAATCCCCAAACTTCTCAGTTGCTACTGATGCTAACATGTTGCACTTTTTAATTCTTATTTTCTTGATGGCTGGTACATAATCGGGATGCAGAAAATGCTCGATGCTTGATATATTGTCGCACCCATCAATGGTTACCTCTTCCAGGCACAAGAATATAGCAACTGCAGGTATCTCATTTATGTTTATTCCACGTGAGATAAAGGGAGGTGATATGCTCCCAAGTTGAAAACAACATTCAAAAGTAAGTGATTTTAAGCTTGTCAGGTTTTTTGGTTGAAACCAACTTGGGAGCGAGATACTGTCATAATATTTTAGGACGAGAGACTTCAGACTGAGAGGAGGCTGCAGAACTTCAACCACTTCTATATCATTGTTGGGGATATAAAGCCCATGGTAATATATGGCATGATCCTCAGGCTTCCCCATATCCAGTTTCAACCCATGAAGATATTTCTTATTCTTCAGGTCTGCTTCTGCGGCATGATCCTTACTTAGCACGCGAACATCAATAAGCTGCAAGTGCCCACGAAACCGGTTCAGATTCTTTAGTAACGTAAATTCTCTGCACTTATTGGTGTGACCAAGACACATACGACGCCCATCATAATATGTTAATCCAACTGATTCGAACTTCCCTAAACTAATCAACTTACTAAAGCCATCGGGCAAGCTCTCTAGCCTGCAATTCTTGGCATATAAAATCTGCAAATGATAAAGCCAACAAAATGTTGAAGGAATTTTCTTCAAAGGACGAGCTTTGACGATCTCAATGTACTGAAGATGCTTCCAGTTGCCAATATTATCTGGTAACTCATCTGTGGAGACACAAGAAATGACGCGCATACGCGGAAGTTTAGTACACCATTTGCTCATTACAAAGCCTGCTTTCTTCTTTAAATCCTTCTTGCAAATTATGGTACGCAACTTTGTGTACTTGCATAGCCTCAACAAGCTGGAATCATCAAACTCACTGCTAGGGAGTACATAGAGATGACGAACATTTTGGGGAACCTTATCCAAGTCACTCTTATTTCTTAAGATGCAACAATCCTGCTTTGAAACCATTTGTGCCATATCATGTAGCAAGTCATGAATGACATATCTACTGCTGATTTTTTGGAAGAAGGATCGTGTGACAAGGTCTTCAAAATACTGATAACCAATATCTTGAATCGGAATACCACCTTGAGGATCCACAAGGCCTTCTGCCGCCCAAATTTCAACTAAGAGTGTCTTATCAAATTTGTAATCTTTGGGGTACACAGCACAAAATGCAAAGCATTGCTTCAAATAGAACGGTAAATACATGTAGCTCAACCGAAGTGCAGGCAAAATGTCAGTCTCCTCTTGTTTCAACTCCCACAGTTCACTCTCACGTATGGAATTCCAATGCGATGCTTGAAGGTCCATGCTTAACATGCGCCCTAGAGTTTTTGCGGCCAAAGGTGAACCCTTCAGCTTAGGAAGTATACATTTACCAATGTGCTCTAACTCAGGATCACTGTTAGAACCCTCTGATCCAAACGCACACAATTTGAAGAAATTCCAAAAGATGTCGTCCTTCAGACCTTCAACTATAATCGGCTCCATTGTGCGTACCCCCTGGGAAACATTTGGACATCTAGTGGTGACCAACATTGTACTTCCATCTAGGGCACTTCTAAAAGGTGCACAAAACCTCTTCCAACACTGCCCATTTTCCTTCAAGGCATCATCCCACGTGTCATCAAGAACTATCAATAACCTTTTGTTGTTCACATGGTTAGAGAGAGCACGCTGAAGAGAATCCAAATTATCACTGGTTGCCTCATTTCCAGTACATGATTGTATTACTTCTTTAGTTAACCTCTTCACATCAAAGTCATCTGAAACACAAATCCAAATTATCAGTTCAAAGTGAGATTTCACTTGTTGATGGCTACAAATATGTTGGGCCAATGTAGTCTTTCCAACACCACCAATTCCAACAATTGGCAAAACAGGAAGATCCAATGCTCTTGATTCATTACTAACATGGTTGCTTGCTGATGCATTGATTGAACTAGTTTTAGTTGCTCTCTTGCGTTTTGAAATTGTAGGTACATTGAGAAATCCCAATAGCTGCTTTAGTTCCTTGTCACGACCAAATATTTTTGTTTCATTTGGTAAGGATGTGGTCTCTGGCCTGACTAATTTGTCAAAGCATCGTGTAACTCCACGAAGCCCCATATTTGAAAGATGGTTCAACCTCAATTGTACATCATTCAGTTTGTTGAAGCTGCCTTGTACGACGGTATGAAAGAAGTCAATGAAAGAAGATTGGCTTGCATTGCCCTCCACTTGTACCTTCTTCTCGTACCATCCAAATTCATCAAGAAGATCCTCGGCCTCAGCTACTGCATCCTTGAGATTAGGAAGGAGCTTGGCCACAACAGGTTCGTGGCTTCTCCACTCTGCTTTATTAACGAGGTCGTATATTGCAGGAAGGGTGTCCCTGAGGCGTTGTAGGCCACTCTCCAACTGCAACACATGGTCCTGGAGAATCTGCTCCTGTGAGCCACTCCATCGGGAGTAAAGAGAGGGAATGGCAGATTTGGCCCATTGAAACAAAGTGACACATTCGTTGACGGCACCAACGACCCCAACAGCGGATAAGCTCATGCTGGCTGGAATAGACATCTATATCCGTTCTGCGAGCAAGCGGTCGATGCAATTAGCATTGAGGAAGTAATTGTTCTAGTCAGATTATATAACAAGCTGACTATTTGTATACAACAAACCAACTATTGTAGTGATTATTTTCTCAAATATGTTTCCATAAAAAAATCCCATGAAGTTAGTTTCAACTGATAAGTTAGAGAAATGTCATGAAATGAGAATTAGTTGATAAATTTTAAATACTTCTTTGCAACTGTTAAGTGTTAACCCCTGACCAGAAATCACGTACGTAAAACATACAACGGAATATTCAAGTGAGATTCATTCACACATGAAACTCATTTTAATTATGATTTATGCAAGTGATATCTTTTCTTCAACTTTAGAGCTAAAATAGTGGGCTGGGTTCTATGTTGAACAAAACATGGGAAAATACAGAAGGTTACGGGGAACGAGGATGGAGAAATGAAGTCATAGAAGAAAGCAAGGTTCAAGGCTCACCTCGACCCGTGCTGCTTGCCGTCGAAGAGCGATTCAGCGTCAAATGCGCAGCAGCAGGAACTAGAAAGAGGAGAGAAATCTTGGATGGGTGTGAGGGAGACGGAGCCTAACAATAACAATGTTTTGGAAAAAGCCAATTCTAGGCGGAGAAACCAACCATGGTCACGGCCGGCCTCACAACTTTGTCCGCCTGGGGCAACAATGAGGTGACATACATATATGATACTCCCTCAATTCCTAAATATAAGTATTTGTATAGATTCAATAAGTGACTACATACAGAGCAAAATGAATGAATCTACACTCTAAAATGCATCTATATACATCCGTATGTTGTTCACAGTGAAATCTCTACAAAGACTTATATTTAGGAATGAAGGGAGTAGATATCATCGTATCTTAAGTTTGTGATGCTAGCTGCTCCTTGTTGCATATCCTAGTTTTTTTCCAAGTTGGACACGGTCACTAAGACAAATGAATTGAATACACAGTAAGCTGAGTACTGACAAACTGTTTTCTTTAGTTACTGAAACCTCACAAGTGCTACAAGAGTGGTTCATGGATAGAACACCAGTAAGAGTGGCAAAAGAAGTAGAGGATGCCACTCCAGTAGCAACAGAAATGGGCAAAAACGCCAAGCTCGATTCCTTTCGATGATCGAGGCCAAGGGGATCGAATGCTTAGCAAGGTGAAACGAAGGCCACCGATTTGGCTGCACCCAAGAACACAGATGACCAATCCACGCGGCGAGATGCATATGCTGCAGAAGCCTAGACACCAGTATTTGTTTGGCTACAAGAATTCTTCAGACGTCCAGGACACACCTCAAAGCCATTACATTATTGGAGGTCATCACATACAGGCTTTCATTCATTTAGTTAAATCTACGACCGAGTTTGCACTTCCAACAGTGTCTTGCTATTAAGTGTGAAGATAACTAACTGATAACATCGCTAGTTAGTGGGATCCTCGCCAAGTTCCCGGTGCCATCAGAACCAGCTGTTACAAGTGTTAGATGTGTATAGCCCTTTTCGGTTTATCCCTATTGTATAAGGGGTCTCTTGCACTTTATCCTACACATGTATATGTACTGGCCTTTGGCCCTCCTGTCAATATAGTTGCTGATTATTTAACATGGTATCAGATATCAGGCTAGCCCCTTCCTCCCGCACAACGCAACTCCGTGCCCTCGTTCCTAGCATGCTCGTCTCCGGCCGTCCGGCCGTTGTCTCTCCAGCCCCGCTTTGCTGCTCCTCCAGCTGGGTGCTGTCCCGTCCGGCCGCTGTCCTGCCCGGTTGATTCGTCCGGCAGCCGCCCGGCTTGGCTGCTGCTCCGTCCGGCGCCATCTCGTCCAGTCGCCCCGACCGGCTGCTGTGGCCGCTGCCGCGTCTGGCCAGCCCCGTCCGGCCGCCGTCGCGCTCGGCCAGCCCAGTTCTGCGGCCGCTGTCCCGCTCGGCGCTGGTCGCCCTGTCCAGCCGCGGGCGCTGTCCCGCTGAAGCTGCAGGTGCTGTGCCGTTCGAGGCACTCGATCTGGTTTGGATCGATCCAGATCGATCCTCCGCCTCTGCCTAGCGTTGTCTCGAGCGCTCCTGCCCGCCCCTCTCGATCCAGATCGAGTCTGCATCCGTTGACAAAAAAGAGAGAGAAAGAAAAGACAACACTCCCTATGTCTTCTTCGGGCTATGTCGCTGTTTCTAGGTGTTCGGTGTTCCTATATCGTGGTCTTCTTCTGTGGGGTGTTCTCTCTGGTGAGGTTCCTTGTCCGCCATGCCCTGTTGCGCCAGTGGCCCCCATCCCACCGGTGCCACCGGTACTTGCTGCTGATGCTTCTCAGTCTGACCGGGATATAGCTAAGGCTCTCGATGATGATGCCGTTGATGCTTATGACCAGCAGGTATCAGCTTATTCCGGTGCTCTTTCTGTGTACCGCGATGATCTGTCTGCTTACACTCAGTGGTGCAATGATGATGCTCGTGCTGCTGCTGTTCTCACTGTGAGTGTCCTCCCTCAGTTTGCTTCGGAGTTCATGGGCCTTGGCACAGTTGCAGCGATGTGGTCTTATCTCTGTCAGCGCTATCAGCCATCCGATGATGCTCTCTACCTATCTGTGGTGCGTCAGGAGCACGCACTTCAGCAAGGTGATTCCTCTGTTGATGAGTTCTATTCACAGTGCTCTGCCATCTGGCGTCAGCTTGACTCTCTTCGGACAGTTGTTTGCGGAACTTGCCGTTGCTGTCAAACTACACGGTCCGATTTGGAGTTTCAGAGGGTTCATGAGTTCTTATCTCGTCTCCGCTCTGGGTTCGAGCCTCGACGTGCTCACTTGCTTGCTCGCGGTAGTGTTCCTATCTCGGAGGTACTTGGTGAGCTTCGTGCTGAGGAGACCCGCCTTCGCTCTGCTGGGTTACTTGTGGTTCATTCCGTCTTGGCTGCCCGAGCTCCTGTGTCATCTGCTCGCCTCACTGCTCCACCGCTCCTGCCTACTCCTTCAGGGGGGTGAGTCACCCTTCTTATGCTGAGAAGGGTACGTCGCGCCGAGACACCTTCTGTGGTTACTGCTCCCGGTCAGGACACCCAGAGTCTGACTGTCGCCAGAAGAAGCGAGACCAGAGGCGTTCCTCTTCCAGTGGGACTCCAGCGTCTTCCTCGACTCCGTCACTCACTGACCAGGATATTGTACGCCTCAAGCGTCTACTTGCTTCCTCTGGCTCCTCGGCGACTGGTTCCGCTGCTGCTGTGACTGCATCTACCTCCCCATCACCGCAGGCATCTACACAGTCAGGTACATCTTCGTGGGTTCTGGATTCTGGAGCTTCTTTTCATATGTCTTCTGTTTCTCCCGTCCTGTCTTCTCTCCGACCTCTTGATTCGCCTGTTAATATTCTTACCGCCGATGGCACACCACTTTCTGTTACTAGTCGTGGTATTCTTTCCACTCCATCCTTTTCTGTTTCTAGTGTTTCACATGTTCCTCGCCTTACCATGAATCTTTTTTCCGCTGCCCAACTTACTGATTCTGGTTGTCGTGTCATTCTTGATACCGACTCTTGCTCCATTCAGGACCGTCGCACCAAGGCTTTGGTTGGTGCTGGCCCTCGGCGCCGTGAGTCAGAGGGCCTTTAGGAGGTTGACTGGCTATGTGTTCCTTCCGCTGCCACCACTTCTGCCAGCTCTCATGCTCTTGCTGCCTCTTCGTCTGCGTCCTTCCAGCAGTGGCATCATCGTCTTGGTCACATATGTGGCTCTCGCTTGTCATCATTAGTGCGTCAGGGCCTCTTAGGGTCTGTATCCGGAGATGTTTCTTTACATTGTAATGGTTGTAGACTTGGCAAACAGACTCAGTTACCTTATCCTACCAGTGAGTCGGTATCTCAGCGCCCTTTTGACTTAGTTCATTCTGATGTCTGGGGTCCTGCTCCCTTTGATTCGAAAGGTGGTCATCGCTACTATGTCTTGTTTATTGATGATTTCTCTCGCTACACTTGGCTCTACTTTATGAAATCTCGTAGCGAGGTTCTCTCTATATACAAACGTTTTGCTGCCATGGTTCATACCTAGTTTTCCACGCCTATCCGTACTTTTCGTGCTGACTCCGCTGGAGAGTATATCTCCCAGCTGTTGCGTGGTTTTCTCGCGGAACAGGGCACTCTTGCCCAGTTCTCCTGTCCTGGTGCTCATGCTTAGAATGGTGTTGCCGAACGCAAGCATCGCCATCTGCTTGAGACAGCTCGTGCGATGATAATTGCTGCTTCTCTTCCACCCCACTTTTGGGCTGAGGCTGTTTCTGCATTCACCTATCTCATCAACATCCAGCCCTCGACTGCTCTGCAGGGTGGTATTCCTATGGAGTGTCTCATTGGTCGCTCTCCTGACTACTCATTTCTCCGTATGTTTGGATGTGTGTGCTATGTCCTTCTTGCCCTGCGAGAACGTACCAAACTGATCGCTCAGTCGGTTGAGTGTGTTTTTCTTGGCTACAGTGATGAGCACAAGGGCTATCGTTGTTGGGATCCTGTTGGCCGTCGCTTGCACATCTCGCGTGATGTGACTTTTGACGAGTCTCGTTCTTACTACCCACGCTCTTCTTCTTCGAGCTTCTCTGTGGATGATATTTCTTTTCTTCTCCTTCCCGATACACCCTGCTATGTGCCACCTGTTTCACCTCTCCCTTCGGCACCTCTCATTCACTCTCATTCACCGCCGACACCATCTTCTCCATCGTCCTCCTCCACCTCTTCCCCATCCTCTCCAGTCCGTCGCCCTCTCTCACCTTTTCCTCTCCACTATACTCGCCGCCCTCGTACTGAGGATGTTTCTTCTGATGCACCTTCCCCCTCTGGTGCACCTCCACTCACCCCTCCCCGGTTCACAACCTTCGTATTCGGCCTCGCCCCCGCCTGATCGCTACCCCCCTGATCGGTACGGTCTCTCTGTTATTGCTGAGCCCACTTCCTATCGGACTGCCATGACTCAGCCTGAATGGCAGCTTGCAATGGCCGAAGAGCTTGCTGCTCTTGAGC